AAACCGCTTAGTATTGCAACTTTTAGCAATATTATGGCAGTGAAGTAGCATCCTTCCTCGATGACAATATTTAAAGTCATAGTTTGTGCCGTTACCCTTGTTCTTCTAACTTCAAAAGTGAAAACAAAAACAAAAACTTGCAGAGCAATTTTGGCAGAATCGCTCGGTAGTAAGAGGAAACTGAAGTTCTGAAAATCTACCGGTTACGCCCTCTCTCAAATAACCTGTTCAATTGAAACTGATTAAATACTTCAACTGCTTCAAACAACTATAACTGCTCTTGAGCCGCTCACATTGCCTACTAGCCTATTGAAGGCGAACTTGTAAGAACGAGCGTGGGACATCGTGAGTGGCTTAATTGGTCGCCACTGGACTGGAACTGAAACTGATAAATTGCTCGAATGCCTGCAAGCAACCATAACTGCTCTTCAGCTGCCCACATTGCCCACCAGTTTTCTGAAGGCGCACTGGTGAGGATGGGCACAACTTTTCGTAATGTGCGACTTTAGCTGAAACCGATGAAATACTCCGGAGGAAACAACTTTTCTCAGAAATTGCGCTCTTCTTTCAGTGAAACGGATATTCAAATATTCAAAAAAGACTTTTAAAGAGGAATTTTGGTATGTCCGCTCGGTAGTGAGATTCGTTCAACCTCAAGTAATAGCGAATTCCGTCGAAAACGCGATTTCTAAAAATTTGGCAGCTATGCCTTTCTTCAAATAAGTGTTCAATTAAATAAGCATGTATTTATTTTCCTTCACTATTATTATTTCTGCAATATTAGCACCGGCAGTGATGTTCAGGCACACGACGCTCAGTTTCTTATTTAATAACTTTATGTTAAGTTTATATGTCTTCTTCTTCGGTCACTCCTTCTGCCCTCCCTCTTTCCATCATCTGTTTCTCTTGTCTCCTTTCTTTTTTTCTTGTATTCCTAGTAACGCCTTGTCTCCACGGGACATTTCACGGGATTTTTACTAAGTTCGAACTGCTGAAATGAAACTTCTGGGCTTTTTCCCCGTTAAACAACACAACAAAATTTCTTCTTCTTTTTCTTTGTAAGTTGTTCCTGCGACTCCACAATGACACTTAGTTGGTACTGTGATTAGTATTGACTAACTCAATATTTTTCACAACTTCGCAAGGGAGATTTTTCCCTGGGTAAAATCGAAACGTCCCCGAAATGGGTCTAAAATAATAAATAATCCGTTGCCACGAGGACTCAGTAAGACAAAGTTATAAGGCACCCTTGACCCTGAATTAGGTATCGTCAGCTTAGCCGACTGATTCCCTCTTTAACTTCCCTCACGTAGGGGGGGGGGGGGAAGTAGAAAAAAGAGTCCATGTGGCACACATTTTCCAATGCGAACCGGACCATCGAATCGCTGCCATCGCACTTTCCGTTTGATTGCATGAGTTGTAATGCAATTTCCAAACGCTGCTTGAACGTAGCTATGCCAAAAATGAACTATGTCTCATGCATAGTTCCTTTTAGCATAGATACGTCCACTAAAGCTGACTCGTGTGTACTCTCTCAGTCTGTGTATTACCATGTATGACGTCACGATTTCAACATTTGTTTAAGTTCAACGGTACGATGGTCATTGATACCCAACCTCAAGGTTAAATGTCATTAATTTCAGCCTCAGTGTCATAACTGTAAAGTCAAGATTGAAGAATTTGATGCAGGTGCTAGTCACTAAACCATTAAAACATCAGAAAAAAAGGAAGGTTGAAAAAAGATAGTCATCATTGTCACTTTGCAACCAGTGATAGACAAACCATGAGCCAGCGCTCTGATTCACGTAACTAGCCTTTTTCCAGTGACGATTCTTGAAAGTTGGCAACACTTTGTTTCCTTCATTTAAATCCACTAAAAAAGTCTATTTCAGGTTAGGCAAACCGCTTCACTCAGAATCGATTATTTTACATGAATTTAAATGGAGGAAACACAGTGTTGCCAACTTTCTAAAATCGCCACCGGCCTTAGCGACCGTGCCCGTGATGCGGATATTTGCCCCTCTTCCAAAGGCTTTAGCGCTCGCAATTTCTCTTTTAAAAAACAGGAAATCTCCTATTTCACATAGTTTCCCTATTACTTCAAATATATGTCTTGTCACTTCAAAAAGAATGCATATTGATGCAATAAGAAATTTCTCTTGGTCTAGTCCATATCTTTGACCATTTGGACTCTAAAGAGTGGCTGAAAAAGCTATTTAAGTTGTTGAAACGATCGCATTACGAGAAGATATTGGACTCTCCTGTGTATATTTGAAGAAGGCTAGAATCTGAGCCTTTCCCCCATTTTTTTTCAAATCGTGAACGAGGCTCTTGAGTGAAAAACAATGTGTCCCGGAGGCAGGAGCCGCAACCACCCCCATCAAAGCTTTTTATTTTGCATACGCTTGCGGAATTAGACTTGCAGAGCCTAAAAATATGTCGTGTGGCTTGTACTTAATGTTTAAAAGATCATTTCAGAGAGGATGATGAAAACCGAGTAATCATACGAGCAAAACGTCCGACTAATGCTCATTAAAAACAATTTTTCATTAGTATTATTATAAAAACAAGTAAAAAATGAATTCATCCTTTGGGTCGAGTTTGTCCCTGGATTGAGACTGACCGTAGTGACCGTGTGAGAGAGATTATTCTGCGCGAAAGAGTTGCTAGGCGCTGGCGCTTGTTTCAGGGATGGGAGCGGGGGGTGGAAGGGCAGAGACTCTCATTAACACGGACGGCCAAGATCAGATAGCCTCAGATTAAAAGGAACAAGGGGTGGAATGCAAAGTTTCCTCTTTTTCCCATCTTTAAAAGCTAAATTCGTACCCCTTTCCTCTCTTCCGCGCCGTACTTTTTCTTCTCCTCTCATCCTCCTTTCATTTTCATATTGCTCAGGTACTATATTCTTCTTTTCTTCTTTTTTAATTTGTAAGAATTGAATGACTAAGCAAAATCGGGGAATAATTAAAGTTAATTTCAGCTGAGCTTTTTATGTTTTTGGTTTTTGTTCCCTCTTCTTCTTGATATAATTTTTAACTGCGTTGTCCTTTCTCAGCAGTAGTTACCTCTTTCTTGAGCTTTCTTCAAGAACTGTTCGAGAGCTCCTCTTTTTACTTCCTTTTATTACCAATCAGTAATCTCAGTATTTAGAGATTACCTCAAATTAACGTTTGACGGCTCGTTGCGGGAAAATTTCGTCTTAGCATGCTGTTCTACCGCCTGAATTATCGAATATTCCGAACCACCTTAGATTTATTTATTATAATTCTGTGAGCAGGTCAAACGTAACTCTATTAATTATACCTGTTTTTATTCAAATCTGTTTATCTGTTTGTATTCAATAATGAATTTGAAAAGGAGTTTTATCAAAAAAGGAAATGATGTCCTTTTTTTCAACAGTCTCTTGAAGAATGAGGAGAGGTAAAGAAAAAATGAAAAATTTTAGTCAGGAAAAAGAGGCAAAAGCTCTTTGTCCGAAAAATGTTACCAAAGGCCTCCAAATGTTTTGTTTTTATGAAATGGAAAAAAAAGTATGTACCTACACACGCGTCTATTAAAGCATAAGTTTATTTTACTTTCATCATGGCTTGAAAATGTAACGTGTCCCTTTCCTGGAAACATTACGTTCCTTTGGCTCGTCAAAGCCGCCAATTCAATTTGAGATTAAAAGTGACCAATTTGTAAGGAATATGAAATGAAGTTTCTTTCTCCGCACATGAGATCAATCACGCACAGTGAATGAAACGAATTTTGTAGAGTGCTAGTAGACTCGGCTTATTTTTAACTAGCTGCAGTATATTTTATCAATAAGTTTAATCGTGTAGTTTGAAAACACATAATTCCATTTTCTCTTAAAACGGCTCCCTGTTTCTCCCCCATGGTAATCGTATTCATATCTCTAACTTCTAAACGGGAATTTTAACGTGAGTTCCTAAATAAACCGCCGCGCTGCAAAAATCTGGCTGCGGAATAAGCGATTATCTAAATAACACATCAGATTTATGAAATTTAGAGACTTGTAAGTCTTAGGAGCATATCGACGGTGAAACTACCAAACCACTTATCTCGGTTTGCGGCGTCGCAGGCTTCCTGTCATACTTTATTTTTTAAATAGAAAACTGCTCAACGTCAATTCGTGAAAACTTCCGTGATTTTTCCTCTTTATGTGGAGAAAAATCTGTGAAGGTTGTAAGGAATGGTATTGATTTGATCTCCTTCAAAAAAATAAAATGTGAGTGGAGATTTTTAAACACCGCAAACGAGATACGTGGTCTGGTAGTTTCACCGTCGATATGCCTAAAATGTTGAATGACTTCAGGAAGTTCAGTATCAAATACTAGAAATTCATCGTAGTTTTCCCGGTGGGTTACCTACAAGTGCAAGAGGAGCATCCTCAACTGCTGACGGCGATCACTCGTGATTGGTCGCTTTAAGGTTGTTTTACCCAACGTCAATTTATTCAGGGATCAATTTTTGGAGCTTCAGAAATTACATCTCTGATCTTTGCTGGTTTGAATAGAAAGGAAAAAAATGTTCTAGCTTAGGAATTCTCTAATTTTGAAAGAAGTCTCAATTATATTTTGCACATTGATTCAGGAGCTCATGGTTAACTTGACGTTTTGTTTTAACGCAATCGCACAAAATCACAACACACCGATGCGATGGCGACCCCACCGCGGGAAAATTGCTCAGAGGGTGTTAATGGTTATCACCGTGTCACGGTACCTTCAGAATACACTGATTAACCAGTTTCACTTCGCTTCTAGAAACACCCTTAATTTTTCTGGTGAATAAGGGCGCTTCTAATAATTTGGTTTGATAGAAAAAGGTCTAAAAATTTTTTTTTCCATTTTTTGTGGGTTTTTTTTCATTTGAAAAAAAGATGATGAAGTAATTTTGAGCGATTTTATTCATGAGTTGTTTTGTCTTCTGACTATTTTAAAGATTTGTTGATTTTTCACTGAAAAATAAATGAAAATAATTTCTTTTCTTTTTTTCAGATGGTCACTAGAACAAAAAAGATTTTTGTAGGGGGTCTTTCGGCTCCGACGACTTTAGAAGATGTCAAAACTTATTTCGAACAATTTGGACCGGTAAGTTCATCATATCTTTTTTGCTTTACTTTCTTTTCTTCGCATATTCTAATTAATATTCAGAATTGTCCTAATGTGTAAACGCGTGCTGACGACCGCCTCACATTTGGTTGATAACCACTGGTCCCTTTCAGGAAATTAACGCTATCTTGTTTCCTGTAGAACCTTCTGCTACCACCCTTTTTCCGGTATCCCTTTTGCAAACATCCTCAGGTTATCATCAAAAACACAGAGTGAATATGGTTTCAAAATCACGCGAGGGGAAAGGGACCACTCATCCCTGCACAGTTTTACTTCCACTCCACATGAACCTACTTAGAATATTTTTGTTTTTTTTTTTAAAAAAAATTGCTCTGTGTAATGATTCTCAGTTCTTGAACATTCTCCTCTTCAGAGCTCCATAGTGACTCTGTTTCTCATGATGTCAACTTATCCCAAATCGGAAAAAAATGAATTGCTGTTTTAACTTAACTTAAAATAATAAAAAAGTCCGATCCGTCTCAAATGTAAATTTTACGATAGTGGGAAGCTTATTCAATCATGGTGGTGGTTGAGTTTGCATTTTCATACCTATTGTGAAATCTACATTGAAACATGTCGGACACTTTTTTTAACTACAAAATTGTTAAATCAGCTTCTTAACCAATTCTCAAGTTTCTTAACCAATTTTCTTTAAATGCGTGTTTCCGATCCCTCCCAATCCAAATGGAAATATCTCAAAATCTACAACTTCGATTTGTTTCTGCTGAAGGAAAACTTAGAATATAGACTATTTCATTGTTAAAAACTTGTTTGCTTTTCGGCTGGTTAGTTTGAGCAAAGGGGCGGATATGTCGCTGCAGACATATTCCTTTTCATTACTGACGGCAAATTCCTAGACGTGACTACAAAATCGGCAAAATGTTCCCCTTCCTGGATGTCAACTAACAGCTCTCTGTACAAACCACCCCTGAAAATTTCAAGCCCCTAAATGAATAGCTATCCACAGGGATGAAAACGAGCATTATTGCACAGTCACGTTCCTGTGAGTTGGAGTCCTGGGCTATACATATCTCGGAGAAATACTCGAGAAAGTACAGGGCAAATAATTGGAGTTTGTGGTCCACTGTTGTCAAATCTGGTATGAAAAATACAGAACCAAGTTTGGTTAAGCCACATACTAGAGAATATGTTAATTTTGATATCAGTCGCCACATTTACTACGAAAATGTACATTTTCATATGATGTCGCTAAGTTGTTCCCATGAATGCAAATTCTATTGTGAAGCATGTAGGATCAAAATCGCACAAAGAAACTTTTTCTAACGCTCAAATAATAATCACCACTGTTTTCTTCTTTTTTTTATTGGCACGATGAAGTTTCTTATCTAATGCTTAAACTACTGCTTAAAATCAGAATGATTCGAACTTGAAATTTCGAAATTCAAAGTTGATATTACGATGAGGATTAAAAATTAATTTGTGCCCTTTCGATCCTGAATTTTTGTAACCGCTGCAACTTTTATCATGATTTATTCGTTTTTGATCCTAACACTTTAACCTAAGTATAATTTTTTTTGAGGTTAGCGTGGAAAAAAAGGCAACTGTATAATAGCTATTGTCAAAATTTTGGAGGATTGCTCATTAAAACTCATTGCTCCACGTGATTCACATAGCGCGCTAGACGTTATCATGACATTCCCTGCGATATAAAAATCTGGCAACCTCGATCTTGGCTCAGCTACAGCAAATTGCTTATAGTTGGGACAAAACATGGTGGGAAATGAACATTGCTCGATCGAGAAGCTTGCTGAAACCGTTGTAGGGCGCGATTTGACTCACGTAGAGCTTTGAGTTTCTCGTGAGCGGGCAGTTCAAATTCCTCGTAACCAATGTGAAATAAAAAAGTAAATATCTTCGTTAGAAGTTGGTATCAGTAATTTTCGTTGCGCGAATCGTGTTTTACGTGAAATTCTGGCTAAGAAATACGAATCAGATTGCTTAAATTCGTACCTTGTCTTGTGGTCCATTAAGATGAATTTTGCTGTTATAGCTATTTTAGTGATTTTATCTACAGGAGTTCAGACGAATTTAAGGAAACTCGATTTTGAAAATTTAACACTTACTGCTCTCTTCGCTTTCACGGCAGTACTGCGCGTGACAGTCAGTAGCAAAAAACAACTGCTAACTTTTCTGACGCAAGTTCTATCGATTCGGCTTCTACCCGCTCCCGTCGGTACCCATGTCACTGCCGTCCGCCGGGCGCTCCTATGGTTATGGATATCGCGACTGCTTGCTCACGTGATGTTTTCCACTATCATGTTTTTTCCACGTTTTAGTCGCTCTCAAAAAACCCGTGTCGCCGTGCAATAATTCGGATTACTTGAAGAGACTGGCAATGGCGAAAGCTGGGCCGTAGATTCGCCAAGAAGTGAAAGCTCTAAAAAATGTTCAAAAAAACTGTAACAGTCGTTAGAATTTGTCTACTGATACCTATTTCATGAACCCATGTCTTTGCCGTCCACCATCCGCTTCTATGGTTATGGATATCGCTACAGTTTGCTCACGTGATGTTTTCCATTATCATGTTTTTTTCACGTTTTAGTCGCTCTCAAAAACCCCGTGTCGCCGTGCAATAATTCGGGTTACTTGAAGAGACCGGCAATGGCGAAAGCTGGGCCGTAGATTCGCCAAGGAGTGAAAGCTCTAAAAAATGTTCAAAAAAACTGTAACAGTCGTTAGAATTTGTCTACTGATACCTATTTCATGAAATTCATCAATAACTCAATGGGTCCTTAACTTTTTTTGTGAACACATATTTTTTAGGAGCCTTCATTGCGCGGAAAGTCATCGTATCTTTCGTTAAGCAGTTTCATCTTCACGTGATGAAATTTATGAATCACGCACTCTTTTGCATTGAATAATATGTATGTACGATGAGAATATTTTGCAGACCTGTGCTCTAAAAGATTGCATGGTTTAATTTCTGGTCGTAGCGACACTACATGAAAAACCAGATAAATATTTGTACTCATTTTAGTGTAAATCATAGCTGTAGCCTATTAGTCTATTATTGTAGCCCGTCGAAAATGAGTTGATACTAATGTTACAGGAAAAACAGAGGCTTTTGATACAGTAAAAATATGTGGGTCTTGCAACTTCGTCGAAAGACGAGCAAAATTTGCGTGCGAGACTCACGGTGCAAAGTGCGTGGGGTGTACTTCTTTTTAATTGACGGGTACACCAATGGCGTGGCGTGCATTGCGATATATCGATTGATCTGCCCTTGAAACCTATGGAGTAGGATCGATGAACAAATTGTTCGCAACGAACACCTTGATAATCGATTCTTTACCACAGCTTTAAATGGGGGAATATTGATAATCGATCATTCACGTCACGCCACTGGGGTGCACTTGCAGCCAGACCAATCCAAGAGGACAAGTGCGTCCTGATTCGGGCATCTGTGCAGACTGTTTCTTAGGAGATGTTTGTATCCTCCGTAAGCACCTTCACAGATTCTATCTTGAGGTCACGTCCGATATCTTATTTATGTTCACCTCGTTCCATATTGCATCTGCTATAACTCCAAGTATTTTCACATGTACACTTTCCATATATTTTTTCAGTTTGTTTTAGTCGCACACTATTGGTAGCTGCAACTCTGATCTGGTATTAGGATATACAGAAAGAAACTTCAACATAAAAGTTTGGTTAATACGGGAAATAAAACACAAAATACTCCTAGCCTTAGGTTGATAATTTCAAAAGAAAATGTCAGCTAGTTTTCTTGACGAAATTAAATGAAGCACAAGTAGTGAATACGAACGTCGCAATTAGAGGAATACCTTCTTCCAGTTTCGTCATCGTTTTATGCGCTAAATTCACCGCAAACTACACCAAAATCAAAACAAATTTTGTATTGGTTTGTGTTTCACTCACTATATTAACCAAAAATAACACAAGAACACAATTATTTTTATCGGTGTAGTCTTTTAGAAGAGCTCTTAATTAAAGTTTCAGCATTAATTTTGATTTGATGCTTGGTACGGGGTGGCAAAATTTCATGAAAAATAAAATCTTGAAATTCCACGTGAAATATTTCATGAAATTTTAGAAATTTATGAAAGATATTAAAAAATACCGGTTCCTTTTCATGCTTCGCAAAATGATAAAATAGTGACTTTCTTCTTTTTGTGTGTGTTTGAGTGTGGGTTGCATACTCAAGCCCCTGAATTTATGAAATATTTCATACCCTCGTGAAATTGTATGAAATTTCTATAGTGTTTCATTTCTTTCTTACGTTGCATTACGGCCTGGAAGCCGCAAATTCTTCGAAAGAGCTTTAGGTTGATGCGCACAAAGATTCTTTTTATTCGCGGTTACCATCAATTTTATCTTTACATCAAGGGTCAGCCTTCTGTATTTTGCAGCGTGTATACGGGGTCTCTCCTCACAGACTAGATTCAATGAATTGTGCTCATCCTTCCTATTTGCGAGAGGTACTTTTACAGATTTAGAGGCACTCAGTTTTGTTTTATCGTTCCGGGTCCAATTATAAATATCTGATAAATGTTGCTGCAAATTATTGCGCGCCTCTCGGCAGGAGCGCGAAGGAGGGAGCGCGCTAGAGTATCATTAGCGAAAACGCCGAGTTTGCCCCCGCTTCGTGACTGTGGGATGTCAGAAGTGAAGAGGGCAGGGAGAGAGGGGCTAAAACAGATCCTCGCCCAACTCCCGCCCCAATATCTCTAAATATCGATTTTGCGTCATCGAAGCGTATTTCGAACTTACGTCCTTTCAGGTATGAAACGAGCTCCGCGAGATTGGACGGAATCACTTTGTAAAGTTTACGTATTAATTTTTCATGCCAGACTCGGTCAAATGCCCGAGCCACGTTAAGGGAAACGGCCACACAGAGTTCACCCTTTTCAAGCGCTTCCTCCATCGCTTTGGTGATTCTGTGCAGCTGTTCTAACGGAGAGTGTTTCTCAGGGAAGCCGAGCTGTGCATCGCGGAGC